AGGACCTCGAGGGAACAAACATCCAACCAGCATAGCTCATCGGTTTATTGTGATAGACAAGCCTGATCACTATATCAAGGTAGCAGCTATCAATGTGGAATATGTTAGCAACCTCAAGATGAAAAAATGTGTTGTGTATTGTTATGTCATGGTCAGTTTTGATGACTTTCATTTGTTTAATCCTGCATAACGCTATCTCATACATTAATAAAAGTGTAGAACTTCGGTACTGCGGTAGAATGTAATTTCATACTAGATTTGTTTACCTGAAATACAACACACATTGACCTAGTATTATATACCTTATGACGTTTCGAGCACAAATTAGCATTGCTCATAATCACATCAGTGTAATCACACAGCATCTTATATCTGATTTCTATAGTCCTATCAGCTCATATTCTTTGTTTTATTCGTGGTTAAGTTTTCTATCTCTTGTATGGAAGTTATATCATCTCTAATACGTGTGTTGGGTGTTAATTCGATGAACAAGTATTTATTCATCAACCTCTCTCCAATAATAAATGATCTTACCCCACACTATTTTATAGTTGTGTGTTAATGCACGCAATGCAATATCCAAGTTTTTCTCCAGGTTACTGATCCTATTAGTGTATTTCATTCTACATTTGGTTAGTTTGACCTATTTACCTGACCTCACAGTCATTGCATCGTATTTGGTAGATTAGATTATTTTGCTTCACTGGATCAATCGTATTCATAAGCTGAGAAAGGTGTTCTCTGAGTGAGTTTCTAGGTTAAAATGGCATCATTATTCCAGTCTTGTTGACAATCCGACTTAAACTTTCTGACATTTCTAAGTAGCTAACGCGATAGAAACCATGAATTTCTTTCTATTTATGTTGATTTACTAAACATATTCACATTATTAAAGCTTCTCTTATGAATTATTATTATCAATATTTATCCATTTGGTTCCCAATGGAAAATAAGGCTTCAGTAGCACGTCTACATTCCACTCTGTTCTCTGCAATCTTTTGAACCTGGCTCGATCACTGCCCACAAGCTCTCATTTCTTCCTCACACACCATCTCCTCCATGTCACCCTCACCCTCACCTCGGACGCCCAACTCGTCGCTTCCCATCTGGGTTCCACTCGAGTGCCTGGCCTGGTGCGTGATGTCCCCAGTCGGCCTTCTCAGTGCATGCCCAATCCATCTCCACTTCCTTCCAGTGCATATTTGTTGAGTGATAGGTTCTTGCTTCGTTGGTTCGTTGCCAGCCAGCCGAAGTTCCTTGTTGCTTGTCCTTCTGGCCATCCATCTGATCTTCAGTAACGAGTGAGCGTAGGCAGTTGTTGATGAATGTCTATAGTTTCTTCGAAATGCTTTTCGTAACGCACCAAGTCTCTGAACCATATAGAAGCACTGACTTGACGTTGGTGTTGAAAATCCGGATGTTGTTCACGCTTTATGCTGAGTGCAGAAGATCTCCATACTTATTTCAGGCTAATGAACGCCTGTCTTGCTTTTCCGATCCTGCCTGGCTTTGACTTCCTCGTCTGTGCCATCTGTACTTGAAACAGTATTGCCTAGATAGGTGAAAGAGGCTACTTCCTTTAAGTTTCTTACGCTGATGGTGATTACAACTTCTTGTTGTTGTTAATTAAGTATCACCATCATCTCTGTCTTCACTATATTCACTTGAAGTCCCGCCTTCGCTGCCCTGCCTCTTCTGTCAACTTGCTTCAGAAGGAAGGGGATACATCTACACCACTGTGATCGATTATCACATATTTCAGGAAGAGTTCTTCACCACTGATTCCCAACGTTTCGGCGACCCACGTCAAGACATTTGCACCTCACTTCACGGCTACACCAAGTTATTGGGATCATTTTGACTTAGCTTTATTGCACTCCACCAGAGCATATAATCACTTATCTGCCCTTCTTCCAATCAATTAGCTGGTACCTTTCCTTCCTTCCACACCTTCTGCAATAGTGGTGTGGTGTGAGCATGTCCACTCTTTTCTCTGCGTCCGCTCTGAGTGCTTCTGGCGGGATTCCATCTGGTCCTGCTGCTTCCCGCACTTCAGTAGCCTTATGACGTTCAGGACTTCGACTTTCGTCAGAGGGTATGTGTTCACTTGTAGTTCTGTGGCTGGGCTGCAGGTGGTATTTCTGAACGAAGTGCAGGTGGTGGTCGATTCAAGAGCTTTCTGAAGTGGTCAGCCCACCGTTTACTTTGTTTCTCTTCTTTGCCAATTAAATTTCCCTCATCATCTTTTACTGGTTTCATCTGTGTTGATCTCTTCTCAGATAGTAACCTGGTTATTTGATATAAAGTTCTCAGGTCTCTCCTACCAGCTGGCAGCCTGTTCTGCTTCACTTGCCAGTGTGTTGAAGAAGTATCTTTTGTCTTCGCGCTCACTCTTATTCACCTCTTTGTCGAGTGTTTTATACATTGTACTCAGTTCCTCTTCTCGTCGTTCATCCTTGCACTGGTTTATCTTCCACTCCACCATCTTTCTCTCCCTTCCTATCCCTCTCTTCTCTCCTCTTCTCCTCCCTTCTCTATCAGCTTCCATGTGTCCGTCGAGATCCATTTCATTCCTTGTCCCGCCTCTTCTTCTTCCTTCCTAACACGGTTGTGCAGGTTTCTTTCCATATCTCTTTCAAACAGTTCCAGTGTTCTTCCACGCCCGACCCTTCAGGGATGTTGCTCAATATCTCCCATTTTGTTCTGTTGGCTGACGTGAAGATGTCCTTTGTAGTTTCGTCCTTCAGTTTCTGTTCTCCGTGTTGAACTTCAACTGTGGTCGTCTATCACCAACTTCTGTGAAGGCTTCCAACTTGATTTTGAAGGTGGGTTGCTTGCACTAGATAGTGAGTGATGTGAACCTACATCTGCTCCCCATCTTGATCTGATCTTGTGTCCAGTAGTAGGCTGGCTGCGTCTCCACTTTCTTCACATTGAGATGAAGTCGATCTGGTTTTTAGTTTAGTGTGTCCATCTGGTGAAATCGTATCCATGTCACTCGCTTTGTGAATATCCTTGTGTTTGTACACACTGCCTCACCTCCAGTCACCAAATCGTTGAATGCATAGAATTCTGCAAACAGTTCTCCATTCTCGTTCATCATTTCGCCGAGTGCTTCTCGACCCATGGTTAGTTCTCTTCCTGTGTTGTCTGCTCCGAGTTTGGCATTCATGTCATCCCACCCATTAGAATTTTGATGTCGCCAACTGGGATGGTGTCTTGTTCAGTGCTGATTGCAGTTGTCTGTAGAATTCCTCCTCCTTCTTATCTTCATCTGCATTATTTGTAGGTGCGTAACATAGCATTGTACGATTGTGACCTTCCTTTCTTTTGAGTTGAATCTTGCTGTTATGATCCCGATCCTGCAGGAGGAGACTGGTTCCCACTGTATGAGAGCCTTCAATGCTGTCGGGGACATCATGATAGCCACTCCAAAATTTTGTGTGCTCGTGGTTATCGTCTGGGTGACAATATCGGAGTAGATTATTGATTCTCCAGTTGACGGTTTGAAAAGTTTACTTCCATTCCATCTACTTTCGCAGATTCCAAGCACTTCAATGCGATACCTTCTCATTTCCTTTGCAATCTGGGCAGTCTAGCCAGGTCCAAACATGGTGTGGTCATTCCATGTTCCCACGTTTACATCATCGAATTTGATAAGGCCTTTGACAGCGTCGACCAAGAAGTAATTTGGCAACTGCGTCAACAGTACAGTTTCATTAACCTGAAACCAGTGTGGAGATCTTCTGCACTCAGCATAAAGCGTGAACAACATCCGGATTTTCAACACCAACGTCAAGTCAGTGCTTCTATATGGTTCAGAGACTTGGTGCGTTACGAAAAGCATTTCGAAGAAACTATAGACATTCATCAACAACTGCCTACGCTCACTCGTTACTGAAGATCAGATGGATGGCCAGAAGAACAAGCAACAAGGAACTTCGGCTGGCTGGCAACGAACCAACGAAGCAAGAACCTATCACTCAACAAATATGCACTGGAAGGAAGTGGAGATGGATTGGGCATGCACTGAGAAGGCCGACTGGGGACATCACGCACCAGGCCAGGCACTCGAGTGGAACCCAGATGGGAAGCGACGAGTTGGGCGTCCGAGGTGAGGGTGAGGGTGACATGGAGGAGATGGTGTGTGAGGAAGAAATGAGAGCTTGTGGGCAGTGATCGAGCCAGGTTCAAAAGATTGCAGAGAACAGAGTGGAATGTAGACGTGCTACTGAAGCCCTATTTTCCATTGGGAACCCAATGGATTAATATTAATAATTATGAAGTGTGTGTCGGTATATTTAGTATCAGTGGTATTTCTATAAGTCTAGATGGATACTTATTTGGTACAGCAGATTATCATACAATGTTACAAGTTAGAAGATCTGAACTTTGTTTCCCAGTGGAGATATAGATTGGCTCCGTGATTTTAGCCAAAGGTAAAGGTGCTTGGTTCAGCTGAATGTTTGACTGAGAATTAGTTTCTTAATGATTGCAAAAGCTCTGTGGTTTCGACGATTTGTCTGTTAATTATTTTACGAAAATATCTTTTCCGAGTTATACTATGTTTTATTTGCTAGTAGTTCAACGTAAACGACAATTTATTCTCGTTGGAATTTCGTTCCATTGAAAACAAAGTTCGTTCTTAAAAATGTTTGGAGTATCTTCCCTTTCTATTTATCTTGTTTTGTGAAAAGGATCCAGTTTTTATGGATAAGAAGTCGGTATTAAAATGTAGTTGGCTTCGTTGTATGATGTCATTGGTCAATAGAGGTTAGCAGTGTGATCCAGGATGCACGTTTCATCCTTTTCGGACTTCTCAACTGTTATATGTGAGTGTTACTACCCCCCAACAGAACTCAAACTCAAAGCAGATAGCTTCAAATGCGAGGTATTTATTGGTTAGACCACTTGATCACGACTTCCGATCTTTGTATGGTGGGTATAGTAAAGTCTTGGTGCTATATCTTGTATAACCTTACTTCCTTTTTTAAATATAGGGTTCTTCATTCAGAGGAAGAAAGGGTCGTACTAGGGCTGCAATAAAAATTCAATCCTCTTTTCGGCGTTTTCGAGCTCAGAAACAGTATAAGGAACAAAAGTAAGATTGAATTATATCATAATTTTTCACTAACTTGTAGGGTTGCATTTGTGTTTCATTTTACCTTGGAATTCGTCAGGTGTATTGATGTCTATAAGGTTTTTTCGATGGTTGAACTCATCCCTTTTTGATCCAAACGTAATAACTTCATCAGTTGATGTAGTTGGCTACGATGGCTACTGCGTGTTTAAAGATTATTAGTTGTTATTACTGCTTTAACTATGTGTGGTAGTTATTGTCTGATCCACCCGATGCTACCAATTCGATCTTAAGTCTGAAGTTGAGCGTTATTAGTCTCACACATGTATGCCGCATCTAATATGAAATGATTTCACAGATCACCCTAGTAACTAATGAAGTAACCAATTAGAGTTCTGTATTTTATTTTAAAGCACGTTTTAAGTTGGAATAAGGAAACACAATTGGTTATTTCAGTTGTTACTAAGGGCACTTTTGAACTCATTTCTGAAATGCTCAATGAATGAATTTGAAGAGATAACCAATTAGGTTTCTTTATTTCAGCTTGAAAGCTGCTTTTTAATAAAATACAGAACTCTAGTTAGCTATTGAGATAGGAGTTAGGGTAGCCTTTGAAGTAGTGAGTGAACAGAGATCGATCAACCGGTCGTTCTGGTTCTATAAAAAAACAATGAGAAATTATAGGTGGAAAGTTTTGTTGCTATTGTTTTAATGATAGTTCTAACTATGAGAATATTACCACTCAATTCATCCAAAGAGTTATGCAAAAACTACAACATATTGTTGCCACAAGTGAACGCTCAGTCATTTCAGCAACTCATTCCCTGGAAATAGTGGAGAAATTCGAAATAGAAAACGAGAAAGTAGTGCTCCTCGGTGTAGCTTCACTTTTCACACCAGTCAACCGAGGTCTCTCCTAAGAAACTATGGGTATCCTTCTTAATGATCAGAATCTTCAAACGTTTGCCAAAAATTACTCCTACAACCTTGACATATCATCACTTCAACGGAAAGATCTACAAAAAATCTAAGGAACTATTGTTATCCCCGGATTAATCGATGAAGCAGTGATGCAAAGGTTAGGACTAACGGTCATTTCAATAATTAAACCAAAATCTGGATCCATTACTTCGACGATACTTTTGCAACGATAAAACAAGTGAATCTTATGTACTCAAGCCTACAGGAAGGCGACTCACAAAGATCAGGTTTTGAACTGTAACATTAACAGCCCAGGGTCTCATAAGGAGAGTTGTTTACAAACAATATTCCCACCTGCCACGACTCACTAAAGTACTCAGCAACTATGGAAGTCAGAAGGGAACCGCCCTTACGCAGTCCTCAGAGTAAATGATTATCCAGTCAACATCAAAGAGAAACGCCTTTCAACAGAACACGCATCGGGAAGGCTACCTCAACATCCAAAATGAATCCATTTACTATATGTCAAATATGTCTCAGAAACTGTCAGCTGTTTACCTAACCCATTCAGTATCAACGTAGTATGCAAACCAACTAAACCGCTACAGAACATCTTATGCAAGCTGAAGCATCCATTACCCAAAAGGGCAACATAAACTTAATCTACTAAATTAGTTTCAATGACAGCCAACATCACTCAGTTGACTAATCGAGTCGTTGAATAGCCCCAGGAATTTTTGAGCCCCATCATACGGCCAAACGATATGACCTATTATCATTGATATCGGTGCATGTAGTTGAGTGAAACTACAACTTCGATAGGACAATATGGAAATGTTGCACCAAGTAAGGTCAAAAACTGCAAAAGAGTTCGTGGATGCATGGTACTTTAGTCAAATGACTATCAACAAATATGTGGATACTGACCGAATATACGAACTACTAAGTAAGGGTCAATCGGCTGGAAAGGAATCAAGCAAATGAGTAATCAAACATCAGGTCAACAGCAGTTATGAAGACCAACCTCTGATAAAGGAAAGAAAGATAAGTTAGCCCTACCCATAATCTGATAACCCTAACAGATGGCAAATATCATTCATAAAAACGATCATGCAATTAGAAATTTCTCCACTTCTTTATGGAGCAAAGGCTGATGAAGTCACCTGGGCTGATGATTAAACGTCCAGTAACAAAGCTGGAAGTACACCAAGCAATTATCATCCTCATTCCGGGCTACAAATCTTTGCTATTATCTCAAAAGCAGAAAGGTGTGTCAGGTCATTGGTTCCTAGTGTATATCGAATACTATAGCCAGGAATTAAGTGATATGTTAAAGTGGGAGAAGAAAACACGATTAATTCAGACTATCCATTAAAGTTAGTCATTCAAGTACAGAAATTTTGATAGAAAAATGCACTTGATCAAAGTAATTATTAGAATCCTACGCTCTGTAGCTGGAATCCAGACATACTGGACAGTTTCAAAATGCTATCCATGAAGTATTTTAGAGAATGCTACACCTGTTCCTTTTCATCCTTTTCTCTTTTCCTCTGTCTGTTTAATGACAGACGTCTTAGGGGAGCTGCCGCCATCATATCTGCCGCATGGACACGTTATAAGAAAATGAAAGAATTGAGGGAAAGATTAGCGAGGATTAGAAAGGAATGCATAGAAGCATCAGAGAAAAGGCTAAAGGTAAATAACACAAACGAATAGCATTTTTATTTATTCTTTCTCTAAAATATCATTTTGTCAGCTATTTTATCAAGCTTTATGCATTCAGTTCTCTTGATAAATTTAACCCACTCAATTAAAACACCATTCAGAGAAGAAGGAGGTGACATCATCCTATTTCATAGCTTCTCCTCAGCTGTAAGTAGAAATTGCAACATGAAAGTAGAAAAGCACAATAACAGGAAATATACTTTGAATGTTTGATCTTAGTGTTCAGTTCAGCATTTCGATGTCCAAGCGTAGTTGTACTGTATAGTGGAAGAAATCAAGAATAATTGGTTTCATAGAAGTATCGATCATGGACTGGCATCAGCTAGAAGACCACTGGGGAACTGACAAAATGAGTATTTGACTCGTCCTAACCTAAGCAGTGAGCATCCGTAACCTTGTGGCGGATCAAACCCAGAACAATGGGATCTTGTAGTAAACCTGCTACTAATTAACCAAGGTTAGAGGAGTATACAATTACTGACTTTCATCAGTTAGTGTTATATTCATATGACATAGAGTCAAGGTGAAAGTTGCTCTATTTTCATAATTAAAGCTGACAATTATTCCAGAGTAGATAAGAAAAGTTTATGTTACTACCTTGGTTCGTTACAGTGGTGTTAAGCGTGTAACTGGTCTCGAGTATACTTCCCCAGTTTCGTACACTTAGTCCATCCACACAACGACTCACACAATTCTGACCTCCCAACGAATTATAACAGAACAAAACTTCCGGTGCTCATTGTACGTATTTGCTTCGGGTGACGTCATTCATCTGTATATGTAAAACCGAATGACCTGATCACAAAGATTAAACAACCAATTTCAAGCACAAAAAACATATGATAATGCATAATGATGGATTTCATTCAATATGGCGTTGTTTCCGAACTATCCATCATTCATAAATGGTGAAAGATTAGCCAAAAGCTCTTAAAACGAACTATACAACAGTGTTACCAAACAAGTCATAAGTAAAATAATTTTTGAAATAAACAAAATAACGACCAGTGACACTTGTCTAAGGTTCACGTTTACCACTTTTCGACTAATATATCAGTTCCAAACGGTAAGGTTATTCGGTGATGATGTGTAAATTATCAAACTCAACTAAGCAATTGTGTGTGTCAGTGTACAGAATCGTACGTTTCATGGTTCAATGCAAAATCAAAGACTTTCTGAATTTCATTATTGCAAATTTGATCGATCTATTCATGCGGACTTGAGAAAGGACAGGAAGAAAGGATCTGTTCAACGATACTAGAATTCTTGCCATCTTTCTGTATAATTTATTGCTGACTGTAATATTATTATTTATCTAACCAGCATTCTTTTAAAATTGAATCTGAAGCGATCCTAAGATGACCCGAAGTAAGGCACTGCTCCAGTTTATCGCACCTCTGACTGTTTGTCTAAGTCAAGTAGAGAGGTAGAAGATACCTTGCCAAGGTCCTCAAGACGACAGAAATTAGAAGTTGAAGACTCTTAGTGGCATGGCTCGAAATGGATTACATAGATGCAGATGTAAGCACCCTTTGTCATATCCAAGGTCTTGTACATTTCTGTTACCCCTCATACAATTTTTCTTTCCCCTCTCACTTGCTTTCATCTACTTTGATGTCATGTCATGTCATGTCATGTTCATGTAAGTCACCTAGCCAGATTCAGGTGTGAGGAACTAATTTGTTTCTCTGAGCTAAATTTGTCAGGGCACTCCGCCGCCAAACGAGTGAAACGGTAGTCTGGTGTTTAGATAATTCTGACTGACTGCCTTGAGAAATCTACAGATCAGCCTGAGTTGTTTCCAACAACTTACTTTTCCAGTAACATATAACATCATTCGGTTTCTGTTTACCTTTTCTTTGTAAGTTGCTGTGAAGTGATATTTTTCTGTTCTTGTTATAACCTGCAGTCACTTTTGATATCATGATAAACCTTGATGCGATATCTTCTGTATCATTCAGGACAGCTCAACAACTGGAGATTTCTCTACTATTATCAATTTGATGATACCTGTAAACTGGCTTCTCTCATGTTAAACTCTTGATTTGAGAATAAAATATTTATTTATTTATTTAGGTGTTATAACCTGACGTGGTGCAATTTTATGTTAGACTTTTAGTTGATCTATTTCAGATTTAATGTTTTATTGTTCTCGCCACAACATGCAGAATATTGAAAAGAATCGGGAAGGTATAATAAAATAAATTATAGGTCTTATGGGTTAAAAGTTGGTCAGTAGCCCTATAGCTCATCATAAGGTCGACTCGAGGCGAAAAATCCTTTAGATTATTATATATATACTGTTGTACTGCTCGAGAATGAGTCCCTGAAGAGAATAATTTTTCGTTGAATGCCTTTTGTTTGTATATCTGCTTCTGTGCTTTCGTATCATATGAAATACCACTATTCATAATCTACCTAACAACACAAAAAAAGTGTTTCCAAAAGTATCTCAACAAATTCCACTTTATTGTTTTCAGACTGTAATTCGTCATAGACTAACACGGGTTAGCGAACCGTTGGAAACCTGGGAGCTCTCGATAGCTGTATCGGTCTATTATGAGACTTCACACCAGTGCACACCCATGACGTCGCCAGAGATCTAGTACTCATTAGTAACTTGCTTGTAGATGAGAAATCGCCACAGACGAGGCCAACCGAATAGGATGCGAGTATTGTTACTCACTGACAGCATTGGCCAGAGGTCACGCGAAATCGTGAACTTACAGAAGTAGGAAATCTGAACCAGTGGGTTTCTACCCAGTTTCTCTATGGTTACTTGCTGACGGTGGACCCTGAAGATCATGGGTAAGTACTGCTGGAGAGTTCCATACTAGGACAAAACAACTGTCCAGCGTCCCCAGGTTTCCATTTATACTTCAACTGATGTCAGTAAATAATGAATACCGACCTGAAATCCCCACAAACCTTCAAAGTGAAATTCCACTATTCTCTTCATCAGAATTGTCACACAGTGAACCAATATTATCCTATTCCACAGATATGCTTCCGATTTGAAGATGACCAATTTATAGTAATGAAAATGTAACACACCAGTGGCGAATGAAATTCAATTTACCTGTGACTTAGAAAGTGATGAAGGTGAACCAGCAAATTCGGATTGCAAGACTCAATGAAAACGAGATGGAAATTTACAGATTAGTGTCTGTAAGAAAAATTCGCAGTAGAATAACGTCACAGACTACAATATGTGTTCAATCAAGATTAGAAATTCACAAGTTTGATTATTCATTATTATTTATCCATTTGGTTCCCAATGGAAAATAGGGCTTCAGTAGCACGTCTACATTCCACTCTGTTCTCTGCAATCTTTTGAACCTGGCTCGATCACTGCCCACAAGCTCTCATTTCTTCCTCACACACCATCTCCTCCATGTCACCCTCACCCTCACCTCGGACGCCCAACTCGTCGCTTCCCATCTGGGTTCCACTCGAGTGCCTGGCCTGGTGCGTGATGTCCCCAGTCGGCCTTCTCAGTGCATGCCCAATCCATCTCCACTTCCTTCCAGTGCATATTTGTTGAGTGATAGGTTCTTGCTTCGTTGGTTCGTTGCCAGCCAGCCGAAGTTCCTTGTTGCTTGTCCTTCTGGCCATCCATCTGATCTTCAGTAACGAGTGAGCGTAGGCAGTTGTTGATGAATGTCTATAGTTTCTTCGAAATGCTTTTCGTAACGCACCAAGTCTCTGAACCATATAGAAGCACTGACTTGACGTTGGTGTTGAAAATCCGGATGTTGTTCACGCTTTATGCTGAGTGCAGAAGATCTCCACACTGGTTTCAGGTTAATGAAACTGTACTGTTGACGCAGTTGCCAAATTACTTCTTGGTCAACGCTGTCAAAGGCCTTCTCAAAGTCAATGAAGTTGAAGTAGAGAGTTGAGCTGACTGCCATTCTATGCTCTGTTCATTGATGATAATGCGTAGTGTGGCGTTGCAATTTGGTCCGCACATTATTTGTACTTCCTGTTCCGGTTGTAGTTTTGAATCCAGCGCATCCTTTAGTCTCTCCAGGGTGATGCGGCTGAATATTTTGCTTGGGGTGGACAGGAGCGTGATTCCGTGCCAGTTCTTGCACAGACTTAGGTCGCCCTCCTTCGGCAGTTTGACAAGGTAGCCCTTCTTCCAATCAATTAGCTGGTACCTTTCCTTCCTTCCACACCTTCTGCAATAGTGGTGTGGTGTGAGCATGTCCACTCTTTTCTCTGCGTCCGCTCTGAGTGCTTCTGGCGGGATTCCATCTGGTCCTGCTGCCTTCCCGCACTTCAGTAGCCTTATGACGTTCAGGACTTCGACTTTCGTCAGAGGGTATGTGTTCACTTGTAGTTCTGTGGCTGGGCTGCAGGTGGTATTTCTGAACGAAGTGCAGGTGGTGGTCGATTCAAGAGCTTTCTGAAGTGGTCAGCCCACCGTTTCCTTTGTTTCTCTTCTTTGCCAATTAAATTTCCCTCATCATCTTTTACTGGTTTCATCTGTGTTGATCTCTTCTCAGATAGTAGCCTGGTTATTTGATATAAAGTTCTCAGGTCTCTCCTACCAGCTGGCAGCCTGTTCTGCTTCACTTGCCAGTGTGTTGCAGAAGTATCTTTTGTCTTTGCGCTCACTCTTATTCACCTCTTTGTCGAGTGTTTTATACATTGTACTCAGTTCCTCTTCTCGTCGTTCATCCTTGCACTGGTTTATCTTCCACTCCACCATCTTTCTCTCCCTTCCTATCCCTCTCTTCTCTCCTCTTCTCCTCCCTTCTCTATCAGCTTCCATGTGTCCGTCGAGATCCATTTCATTCCTTGTCCCGCCTCTTCTTCTTCCTTCCTAACACGGTTGTGCAGGTTTCTTTCCATATCTCTTTCAAACAGTTCCAGTGTTCTTCCACGCCCGACCCTTCAGGGATGTTGCTCAATATCTCCCATTTTGTTCTGTTGGCTGACGTGAAGATGTCCTTTGTAGTTTC